CTCAGGCTGGTCTCGAACTCCTGAGCTCAAACAATCCGCCCGCCTCAGCCTCCCAGAGTGCTAGGATTACAGGCGTGAGCCACTGCACCCGGCCTTCCTTACGTTTAAGAAGCATGGTGACTTCATTTTCTTTATCCCATTCATTGTGTTCAACCTTGATTAAAGGGTCTTTAATCCCTCAGTCAGAGTGAGGGAGGGACTTTTGAAGTCCCTTGAACTGGGCTTCCATTTCCATGTCTTCCGGGCGCGTGGTGCCAGAGGCTGACTTATTTAACTGCTCTGAGCTTACAGGTCTCATCTATAAAGTGGGGGTGTGAGCCCTACGTCATGGGCTGCTTACATGTTGCAGGGAGACAGTACCATCTGGTGGGGTCCCTGCTGGTAGTTGGGAGTCTGTCCCCGCCACAGTTCCTTCGTGGGCTTTCGGCGCGGGCCTGCTCCTGGCCGGCAGGTGGCGCCCTTCCCCCACCTTACCAACACGACACGCACGTCTCTGCCAGCCTGGGGGCCACTCCCAGCCCCGCCTAGCACTTAGAGGAGGCAAGATGCAATTGCTGCCCGGACTCCACCAGAGGTCAGGGTTGACGCAGGCTCAGCCTCTCCGCGTACCCAGTGGTGCCCTGGGGCTCAGGTCAGTGGGAAAGGAAGGCAAGGGGGACCCTTTGTTACCCACACTTGGGTCGGCTGCAGGGTTTTGAGTGGGAATATACGGAAAGCTGCTAGCACGGGGCCCAAGTGGCAGCCACGCTCACTGGTGGGTTAGTGACGCTGGGACCGGCCTCTGCGTGTCTGCTGTGTGCCAGGCACCACATTTGCTCATGTAATCACCACCACCTGGCAGCTGAGGCCCAGAGAGGTTAAGTGACAAGAGATGGCACGACCAAAGCAGGAACTAAGGTCAGCAGCAGCTGAGGCCCAAACGATTCCCCTGAGGATCCTGGGGTGCTGGAGAGTGGGACCCTCTGGAGAGTGTCCCCATGAGCTGTGTGTGCACAGGACCCGGCTCTGCGGCTACTTGTCGGTCACCAAACGGGGGTCGGGGAGCAGGACACATCTGCCTGCCCGCAGTTCCCCACACCTTATCTGAATGGCTCGCAAGCCTACCAGCCAGTTTTGTGAAAGGACCTGTGGTTTGTAGGCAACAAAGTGGGTCCCTTTGGCTGTGAGAGCAGCTAAAGCAACTGGCCCAAGGTCACAGCCCCAGATCTGTCGGAGTGGCCAGCTTACACCCTCACCACCACCCAGACACCTGCCCTCGTGGGGACCCCAGGACACTCGTGTCCCGAAGGCTCCTGGGCACGCTCTTCAAGGACTAGACGTTCTCGGGGGTTGGAGCTACCTGTTCTTCCCATGAGGGCCCTGGGCGGGAGGATCAAGCCTGCTCTGTCTCCTCCCAGGCCACAGCCCTATCGGACACTCAAGGAGTCCGACAGCGCGGATGGCGACGAGGTGGAGAGTCCGGAGCAGCGAGCGCGGAAGCCCTTGGGCCCTGCCCCCGCTGCACCTGACCGGGCTGCCAGCATCGACCTTCTGGAAGACGTCTTCAGCAGCCTGGACGTGGAGGCCCCCCTGCAGCCGCTGGGCCAGGCTAAGAGCTTGGAGGACCTTCGGGCCCCCAAAGACCTGAGGGAGCAGCCAGGGACCTTTGACTATCAGGTATGGTGTCTGCAGGGAGGGCGTCTGCTGGGGACAGGTGCTTTGCACACCTGAGGTACGACCCCATTGACAGTCTAAGAGACCAAAGGAGAAATCATGACTCTTCCAAGGTCCTCAGGCAATGCCCCCCCAGTCTGACTGCAAACCCCGCCCAGCAGCCAAACCACCCCAACAGTGATGACTGGAGAAGATGCTGGAGCCTGGTGGAGAGCTGCCCTCACTTCCGTGTGTGCCTCACACAGAGGTGGGCTGGTGCCCCAGGCCGCTCTCCCCCAGGCCTCCAGGCAGGGCTTTAGCTACTGCTGGAACTGGGGTCCTTCCCGTCCCCACTGAGGCTCCTGACAAGAGCTTTTGGATCAAAAGTCCACAATCTAGATTATTCCTGTGTGACTACTGATTTCCGTTGTGACTCCCAATCCATCACATCCCCTCTCTGGGCCTCAGTTTCCTCACCTGCGAGTGGAAGCTGCCGACTTTGCAGTCACGGGGTCCCATGGTGGGATTCACAAAGCTCCCACGATTCTAGCAGTTGACGAGTGCCCCCCTACTGGGAGTGGGGAAGCTCAGGCAAGAGAAAGGGAGTGACTTGCCCAGGTTGTGTAGCGTGTAAGTGCAGAGCCGGCACTCGAATCCGGTCCTCCTACTCCCTCCCTAGCCAGCGTGCCTTCCACCAGCCCTGCGCCTCGCTCGCCCTCGCGCTCACAAGTGACAGAAGGTGCTGTGCGCTCTGGAAAGTAAAAAGGGCCCGCCCTTGCCGGTCGATACCATCACCTTCCTAAAACTACTTGGCAACCGCTGGCGTAAAACGACAAGAGCTTTGTCTTGAATCCCTTTGTGCCACACAGTGAGAAAAGCCTGAGCTTGGAGTCCAGACAGACCTGGGTTCTCTGCTGGTGACCTGGGGGGCCCCCAACTGCTCCACGTCCTGGGTGTTAATTGGCCACATGCGTGGGAGCACACACCCTGCACACAGAAGGGCATGGCAACGGGCACGCCCTTCCTTCCCTTCTGTCCCCTGTGGTCACTGCTTCCCTCGCCTCGTTCCCTCCCAACAGAGGCTGGACCTGGGCAGGAGCGAGAGGAGCTACGGGATGATGGTGGCCTTGAAGCTTGCCCACCCCTACAACAAGCTGTGGAGCCTGGGCCAGGACGACATGGCCATCCCCAGCAAGCCCCCAGCTGCCTCCCCTGAGAAGCCCTCGGTCCTGCTCGGGAACTCCCCAGCCCTGCCCCGAAGACCCCAGAACCGGGACAGCATCCTGAACCCCAGTGACAAGGAGGAGGTGCCCACCCCCACTCCAGGCAGCATCACCATTCCCCGGCCCCAGGGCAGGAAGACCCCGGAGCTGGGCATCGTGCCTCCACCGCCCACTGCCCGCCCAGCCAAGCTCCAGGCTGCCAGCACCCCACTCGGTGACTTCTCAGAGCGGCTACAGGTGGATCGGGAGAAGAGAGCCACCCTGAGCCCAGCCCTATTCCCAGGGCTCCTCCCCAGTGTTGCTCCCCAAGGCCCCACCGAACTGCTCCAGCCGCTCAGCCCGGCCCCAGGGCCTGTGGGCACCGACAGCGACGCCCTGCTTGCTCTCCTGGACCCACTTAACACAGCCTGGCCAGGCAGCACCCTTCCACCATGCCCTGTTGCCCCAAATGTAGCCACCCCATTCACCCCCCAGTTCAGCTTTCCCCCTGCAGGGACCCCCGCCCCATTCCCACAGCCACCACTCAACCCCTTTGTCCCATCCATGCCAGTGGCCCCGCCTGCCCTGCCCCTGGCCTCCACACCAGCAGGGCCTTTCGGGGCCCCTCCGGCCTCCCTGGGGCCGGCTTTTGCGCCTGGCCTCCTGCTGTCCGGTGCTGGCTTCTGCACCCCTCACAGGTCTCAGCCCAACCTGTCCGCCCTCTCTATGCCCAACCTCTTCGGCCAGATGCCCATGGGCGCCCAGACCAGCCCCCTGCAGCCGCTGGGGCCCCCAGCCGTTGCACCCTCGAGGATCCGAACGTTGCCCCTGCCCCGCTCCAGTGCCAGGGCTGCTGAGGCCAAGCAGGGGCTGGCCCTGAGGCCAGGAGACGCCCCACTCCTGCCTCCCAGACCCCCCCAGGGCCTGGAGCCAGCGCTGCAGCCCTCTGCTCCTCAACAGGCCAGAGACCCCTTTGAGGATTTGTTACAGAAAACCAAGCAAGACGTGAGCCCGGCCCCAGCCCCAGGCTCAGTGGAGCAGCTCAGGAAGCAGTGGGAGACCTTCGAGTGAGCCAGGCCCTGAGGGCAAGCGAGCCAAGCCTGAGTGTGCGTCGCCCGCTGCTGTGGCTCCAAGGCTCCCCTGCCGCTGGTTCTGTCCAGGTTCTGCTGGTGGACAGGGACGGGACCCCTCTCTGCCACCCCCGACGCCCTGGTCTCCACACCCACTGCCTATCTCTGAGGTGAGGGAACGGCGCCAGTTCTGGCCTAGGACTCAACCCAGCCCCCGGGCACCCGTCCCACCCGGCCGCGGCCCCTCAGCACCCCAACTGGGTTTTGCACTAAAGAGGTCAGTCAGCCAGGCCAGTGATTGCCCAGACCACGTCCTACCCTCCTTCCCTCTGGAAATATCCCACAGGGCTCCTCAAAGCCTCTCCTCCTGAGCCCAGCTCTCCTGTCCCTGCCGCAGCCCAGCCCTGCACACCCCACCTGCACGGGCACAGGCGTCAGTGTTACCCCCAAGTGGGCTCGTCTGCACGAGACACAGGTGATTCGGGCGTTTGAAGTCAGGACTGCTCCTGGGTGGAGGATCTACCTGGTGGGGCATTTCCAAACCCTCTCTAGCAATATGCACATGCGTTCTTTCCTGAGTCTTCACCCCAACCCCAAACTTCAGTTGTTCTGGCCTGGTAGGATCTGGGGGCCAAAGGATCTTGGGTTCCCCTTTGACAGCCAAACCCAGCCCCTGCTACCCTGCATGGGGGCCGGGCACCAGCAACTCTGATTTGTGGAAGAAAAATAGAAACCCACAAATCTCAGTGAGTTAGGAGGAATCCTCAGCCCTCATCCAGCCCTCTGTCACTCTGATACTTCCAGTTCTCCTTGTCTCTCCTGTCACCATCAAAGCTGGGCTCAGCCTATTATCACTTGGGGCTTCGTGGGCAAAGCTGAGAAGCAACGATCCAGATTTCAACTCGAAGACCAAGTTTAACGTCACAGATTGACATGGGAGTCCTGGCTCCCTGGGCTGGGACAGGGCGGTGGCCCTGGGCCCCTTCTCCAGGGTCCCAGTGGTCTAGAGGCTCCTTTCAGCCTGAACGCAGGAGCAGCTCCAGAAGCCTGTCTCTCCCCACCTGTCCCGAGCTTCTGGCCAGCACAGCAATTCCTGAGGCCAACGTCACCAAAGTTAGATTGAAATGTCTTGTTATTGTTTCTTTTATCTTTCTTTTCCTTTTTACCTTATTGATTTGATGAATCTTGAAATTGATTCATTTCCATAAAGCAAGTTAAAGTATGGCCCAACCATTTAAGAAAACAACCATCTGAGACATGCAGGAAATTGTGAGCATTTTGACCTGATTTCTCATTTCCTATTTGTGAATGGTCAGACACACAGTCTACACTGGGTGTCTGATGGAGCCAAGGGGGTCCCTGGAGGTCCCTGTCACCCCAGGGAGCCCCCTGTGTGTCTGAGAGGCTGCTGTGCGTGCTGAGGCCTGATGGCCCGTCCAGCACACAGCCCTTCCAGGGTCCGCTGTGGCCCACCTGGGCAGGTCTTTTCTTACCATCTGGTGAGTGTTCTCTGGCTGCCGGGGGAGCCGTGTCATGCCTGGGCCAGTGGGCATCTCCCAGGCACTTAGTGTTTCAGCACAGATTCCAGTTCTACCCCCGATCCAGGGCAGACCTGCAGGCCCATCTGGGACAGGTCAGAGGATGAGAAAAGAGGTGCTGGGCAGCCCCAGGGCAGGAGGCCCCATAGTCTCCCTGGCTGTGCTGGGGCTGGTGGCAGCGGCCCCATGTTCACGTGAGCACTCCTGTCTCTTCACTTGCCAGATCGAACGTGCAAACCCAAGGAGGAACTTTGTGTGTGCATTCAATAAAATCTTCTTAGGGAAAAGGCTGGCATCTGTCCTTGAAGGAGCTCTGTGGGGACAGGAGCCTCCATGTGGGCTCTCAGCTTCTTCACCACCGCCTCCTGCAGAGGTGGAGGCCAGGTGTGGAGCGCTCAGGGAAGGATTCAGTGCCCTCCCAAGCCTGTGCCCACTCGGGGCTCTAATCCAGTTCACCCCTTCCCCTCACAAGCAGGGCACAGGGCGTGCTGGTGACAGGCCTGCACAGCCCTGCCAGGATCATAGAGCAGGCTACAGGTCCCCAGTAGTGTGGAGGGCACCCAGGCTCCAGGAAAGAACAAGTTCAAAGGGATACTTGGCAAGTCGCCCCCACAGATCTCTCATTAGCAAAAGCAGAACCTGGAGTCTGCCCCTCTGTTGGATATTTGTGTTTGGAGGAGAGATCTGGACCAATCGATCGCCCACGGTGGGCGTTAAACACACCCCCCAATCTGCCCATGACCTGGCCATGCTCCCCCTCCCAGGGCTGACCCTGAAAATGACAAGCACCCAGAACCCACAGGAGCAAGGGAGAGGAGGACAAGGGGCTCCCCCAAAAAGAGCAGCCACACCTGTAATCCTAATACTCTGGGAGGCCAAAGCGGGAGGATTGCTTGAGCTAAGGAGTTAGAGACCAGCCTAAGCAAAAGCGAGACCTCCTCTCTACTAAAAAATAGAAAAATTAGCTGGGCATCATGGCATCCACCTGTAGTCCCAGCAACTCAGGAGGCTGAGGAAGGAGGATCACTGGAGCTCAGGAGCTGGAGGTTGCAGTGAGCTATGATGACGTCACTGCACTCTACCCAGAGCGACAGAGCAAGACTGTCTCAAAAAGGCAGCTAGCTTTATCTGTATGTTGGGGTTCCACATAAACTGTCTTAGGAGTCTGCAACTAACATGGGTTTGGCAAATTCCTGACTTCAACAAACTAAAGTAGGAACTAGCTGTGGCTAAGTCGAGGGTACCAGATGCTTCCTCCCCTCTTTCCTAGGGGTTGTGGAGAAAGTTGTGGCAAAAGTGGCCCCACTCCAAAGGATAAAGCCCAAGCAAGCCCCTCAGCCAGCATTCAAGGCCCTCTATCCCAGCCTCTGCCGAATCCCAGTCCCCTCCCCTGCCCAAGTCCCCCAGTTGTCACATGGCTCCACCTCGCACTGGACTCCTGTGCCTCCTGGGAAGTGACTGAGACTGCAAGGTAAATCCAACTGCCAACTTAGACGTGGCAAAGGATCTCCTGGCCTTGGCACCTGGAGCCCTCAGTCACAGGAGGTGTTGGCCCAGGAAAGGGAAGGATGAAAGGGTCTCCATGAAGCTCGTAGGAGGCCAGGCCCTCAGGCAAGTGCCCCTGTGGGCTCAGAGGTCACAGTGATGCGCATCACCAGAGAAGGGACTGCAAGCAGCAAATTCCCCGAGTCTGCCCCTTCAGGACCCGTCCCACACAGAGGCAGTGCTATGTGGTGAAGGCGTGACCTCGCCAGGCCGCTCAGGAGGGTCGGAGCTGGAGAACCAGGTGGTCAGGTGAGTTGGGGGCTTGGGAGGGGGCAGGGCTGCTCCTTCGTCCTTAGCCCCCTCTGCTCTGGCCTTGCCAAGCCGCAGGTAGGCCCCTCCCCCTCTCTCCCTCAACTCTGGCCAGGGGAGACGACACTTCCAGACACCTAAAAGGACACCAGACAATCCTTCACATCAGGCAGAAGTTTACAACTTCCAGAGCTCTTTCCCCATTGGCATCGTCTCTGATCCTCACAACAGCCCTGTGAGGTAGGCAGGGGGTGCCTTCCCCATTCAACAAGTGGCCACAGCAAGTGGGAAGCTCAGGGCAGCCTGTCGTCCTCGGCTCCTGCGGGCCAGCCCTGGGCAGGCATGGGGGTGGGTCGGGTCTGTGGTTCCCTTGTATGACCGGCTCCGGGCAGAGACGTCTGCCTGAAGGAGCATTTGTTCTGGGAGCCAGGAGCCCACATGGCCTCCACTAATGGCCTCCCTTGACTTCGCAGCTGCCTCCAGGGCAGGGGCAGCCCCTGGAGGAGGGAGAAGATGCAGGAGCTGCAGCCCTGGTGCCTGGGCAAACCCTGGCCTCCTGCAGAACGTGCAGCCTGGGCTGCCCAGCCCCAAGGTGTAAAGATTGTTTCCACGGCGCAGCCACCTCCTCCCTGGGATCACTGCACCCGCTACACAGTCACGCACACACACAGCAGAAGCAGCGGACACGCCTGCGAGTCCCATCAGAACACTCGCACCAGATCTGCAGACCCACACGTCCCCAGGCACATGCTCACACACACTCCCGAACACACCGTGCACACCCACGTGTGCCCTCCACACATAGTCGCACACCTGCTGAGGCAAAACCTGCTGGGTCCGATGGAGATGTCCACACCCTCGCCAGGTCCCTCTCTATTTCCCTGAGTTGCTCCCCTTTTCCTCAGTCCACGATGGGGCAGAGGCAGGGGCTGCCAGCCAAGGGGACACCTTCCCAGCAGTGTCCCAGGCCCTGCAAGCAGCCTCCTTGGGTCTCCAGGTAGAAATCGCTCAGGACCTCCAGGGTGCTGGCATTGGCAGCCAGGCTGGCCTAGATGAGTCTCTCCTCGGGCGGCACCTTGAGGACACTGTCCATCTCCATCCTGGCCCCAGCCACCTCCTGCTGGCTCGGGCTGTAGGTACCCTCGGACTGACGGCGCTTTCTGGCTGCCAGGATCCCGGAGAGGAGGCCCAGGAGGAGGAGGAGGAGGCAGGCACAGGCTGCAGGCACTACCACCTCCAGCAGCGGGAATGGCAGCGGCAGGGGCAGGCCCTTCTGCAAGAGACACACAATGAGGCCTGAGACCGCAGAGAAGGCGAGCCCCTTGGAGCGGAGAAAGCGGGGCACAAGGACCTGCTCAGAGAAAACCAGAGCGGGAGCCGGCTTCCCGGGGAAGTAGTGAGACCTGGCCCCAGGGGTGTGCAGGCAGGTGCCAGGAACCCACCTGTCACAGCCACTGCAAGGGGAGTCCTGCACAACAAAGGGTTCTGGCTAGACGGATAGAAGACAGACATTTATGGGACACCCAGTGCGAGCTAAGCACGGTGTGTGGGACTTCACAGAGCCCTGCAACCCCTGATGAGGCTGAGCAGGAGCAGGGCGGCTGAGCCCAGCTGACGGTGATCCACCAGGGCCTGCCTTCCTGCGGGGCTGCTCGGACCAGGCCTTGGGGGGACCAGCAAACCTCCTCCTCATCTCCAGCCGCAGACTCCCAGGATACCCCATCAAAGAGTCTTCACACCTGGAATTCTGAAGTCCCAGAATCACAGGATTCCAGAGACACAGAGTCTCAGACTGACCAGCCCTCTCTCTGCACCTTGAGGCTTCTCAGCGCGCTGTGACCTGGGTCCCCAGCCCCAGCCCTAGAGAAGGGGTCCCAAAGCAATAGGGAGTTCGTCCCAGCTTTGAGTGGGCCCTTGCCAGCCTCCACCCCTGGGCACTTCTGAGGGAGCTGTAAAGCCATTTCCTCCCCCTGCCCCGGGAAGAGGATGGGAGAGAGGGGGAGGGGAGAGGGACAAAGGCTGTAAAAGTTCAGCTTGAAAAGAAACATTCCCCAGAAGCAGAGGGGATTTGTGGTTTATGACCTGCGCTGCCAGGGCCTGTGGAGATCAAGGCTGCTCCCCAGACTTTGCTTCCTGAGCCCCCTCCCACCAGCACCCACCGGGCTCAGCGCCCCTCCTGGCAGTAGGGCCTGCTCCACCCCTTGATGGGGGTGTGAGAGGGAGGGTCCCAGCTTCAGTGTCTGCCCGCTCGGCTCAGAAACCTGGGCTGCCTGGGTCTTCCGACTCCGGGACCCCAGCTCAGAAACCCCCCGGGCTCTTGGATTCACCAACCGAAATCCTAGAATTCCAAGATCCTGTGGGCCCTGAATTGTGGTCTCTGATGGGACTGGGCAGAGCCCACCTGTCCCCACTGCCTCTCCCGTAGGCACTGTGGGAAAGCCCCCGACCTGTCACTGTGAGATGGTGGGGCCCCAAAGCTCTCCCTACAGTGAAAATACCTCCTGTGTGGGGAGTGAGGAAGGGACCTGAGTCTCCTGTCCCTGCCACTCCCATCCAGGACAGAGCTGGTCCAGGAACAGTTCCACGGGTGCCATACACCCTCCCCCACCCCCAACGTCATCCCACTGAAGTCCCCAACAGGCCTCTGCCAGGGCCCTGCCCCCTCTGGCATTGCTCACCACCACTTCGCAGAACTGGCCGGAGAATCTGGCGCTGCAGAGACACTCAGACACCCCAGCGGCTGCCCGGCAGGTGCCCCCGTTCAAGCAGGGATTGGCTTCACAGGGGAGGGTGGGGATCCGACACCTGGGGAGGGAGGGGTCTGAGAAAGCTGCTCCCCTCAGGGCCGCCTCCCTCTCACCCAGCTGCTCTGGCGCCCCCCGCCAGCCCACCCGCATCAGAGCTTATCCATCCACTGTCCCCACACACTGCTCCTGCCTGGCTGGGCCGTGCTAGGTGACTGAAGCTGGATGTGATCTACACACCTGCCACCCCCTGCCCCCAGTGTTCATGACCGAGAATGACTCTCAGGGGAGCCAACTCCGCCACGCAGAGGCCCAGAATCTGCCTTTTCACGGTCTCCCCAGGGCGTCCTGACACAGGTGGGCTGAGGACCCATCTCTAAGAAGCACCACCAGGCAGCTGCTGCACACAGCGGGGGTCTGCCTAACACAGGATGGTCTTGGAAGCCCCAGGGGGAAAGGC